GGGTCTAATGTAGTGAACTTCCACCAAGTGGCTGGTTAGTTTAAAGAGATGATCCTATTATCGGGATCTCAGCGTTGGCTTCTGTTGCTGTCAGGATAGACTTTAACAACAGCAGTAGCTAAGTCAGCCTTGGACCTAGGCAGAGCCTCATTCCCTGCCACTATGGCTACTCCTTTTAAAAACCATTGTGCCAGCACTGGGATGACAGAGACTAGTGAATTAACTGGCTGAATTGTCCTTTTGGTTATTGTTGATTCTTCTGTGAAGGATGCTTTCTCGTGGACGTTAGCAAAATACAAAGATCTTCACACTTTGTGCACACCTCCCATAGATCCATCCACATGCCTTTTCTCCCTAGTTTTTTGTCTTTAGTCTTCCAGTCTTTTTCCTTTTGGGCCCAACCAATCAGCAAACCATGCTTCACTCCCCATGGGTCTTTGTATCTTCTTTCCTGAGGCCACTTTCTCCATGTAAAGTGGATGACCAGGTGCACTACCTGGAGCATACCCATTTCGCCTCATTAATGTCTTTCAGGGCTATCCCTGAGTGAGGCTGTAATGCATCATTTTCAGCTTGTACATACCAAGCCAAATCCTCCATGCAGCAAGTTCATCCTTTATCCTCTGAAAGCCAGTCATAGGGGATCCTCCATGTAGCCATATGCATGAACCAGTGAAGAAATAGGATGGTATGCACTGGTACAACAGTGCAGAGTGGATATTATGAGGCCTGGGTTTCCTGTGTGTGCATCTTACTTGTGCCCTCTGGCCTTACTCATGTCGAATGCTAGTGTACCTCTTCTATCTTACAGTGGATTACTGTAGAGCCTGCCTGACCTTAAGATTTGGTGAATATGAGAGATCTCAGCTCGTGATGGGCAGTTCTTGATGCATGGTCTTTTGTTGCTCCATTGTTAGAAGCTCCATCTCTACCAGGGTCTCATATCTAGGAGCTGATTTCAAATGAGGTCTTGTTCTTCACTGCAGATGGCATGGTCTTGCTCTAGAACCCTAGCAGTCTACATTGTGATTCTCCTACTGGGAGCCTACCACAAGCTTCCTGTGGCTTCTTTTAGCGAAGACACATTTAGCGCTCTAGAATTTACAGAGTTGTTTGGCCCAAGTGGGGGGCTGCTTGCTCTGCTGCCTGGATCTGTTGCAGAGCTCTTTTCTGCTCTCAGCCTCACACACCAGGCATCCTTTTTTACCACTTGGTTAATGGGTCTGAACATTACAGCCAAGTGTGGAATCTGCTGCCTCCAAAACCTGAAGACGCTTACCAAGCCTCATGCTTCATTCTTAGCAGTGAGAAGTGCGAGATGCAAGAAGTTGATCTTTACTTTGAAGAGGATGTCCCACCATGCATCAGACCACTTGACCCCTAAACACTTCACTGATGTGGCAGGCTCCTGAAACGTCATAGGATTTATCTTCTACCCTCTGGAGTACATTTATCTACCAGGCACTCCAATGTACTTGCCCCTATTGTTTACCAGGTAACAGTAGCAACATACCGTTGATGTAGTGGATCATCCTGAGATTATACAGAATGTCCACATAGTCTGGTTTCCTTGGGTTATCTTATGACAGAGGATGGGAGAGTTAACACAGCCCTGAGGCAAACCATAAGATATACTATTGTCTATCTCATGAACGCGAGCTGCTTCTGATCCTCCTTCCTAATAAAGATGGAAGAGAATGCATTCCCCATGTCTTGGCCCCTTCCAGATACGTCCAGTTCTGTTGACTTGCTCTAACAGATTTACCATGTTCAGCACAGCAGATGTAACTGGGACTTCTACTTGGTTGAGTTGTGGTAGTCTGGATAATCTTCCAGAACCCATTTGGATTTTGTGAGGACCAGACTTAATGGAAATATGATGGGGACCATTAGCCTTTGTATTAGTCAGTGTTCTCCAATGAAACAGAGCCAGTAGGATATATATACAGAGAGAGAGATTTATTTTAAGGAAATAAATCATGGAGGCTGACGAGTTTGAAATTTGCAGAGCATGCCAGCAGGCTGGAGACCCAGGGAAGAGTATGTTGTAGTTTTTTGAGTCTGAGGGCAATCTGGAGGCAGAATCCCTTCTTCCTCAGAGACTTCAGTCTTTTTTTCTTAAGGCCTTTGACTGCTTAGATGAGGCCCACCTGCATTATAGAGGGTAATCCGCTTTACTCAGAGTCTGCTGACTTAAATGTTAATTATATCTTTAAAAAATACTTTTATAATAACATCTGGACTAATGTTTGACCAAGCAACTGAGCACTATAGCCTAGCCAAGTGACACAAAATTAAACATCACACCCCTGCATCCTTTAGGTTTACAGATAGCACTAATTTCTGCTTTTCCTCCTGAGATGTGGTGTTTGTTGTTGTTTTTTTTTTTTAATTACTGTTTTGTGTAAGAGGTAAAATGGCAGCTTCAGAGGCTTCCGCTTGGCCTTCCATGGTATGTCAGCTCTAAAATGCCGTCATAGAGTATGCTCTTTAGGATTGCTCCTCGTACCTGCCATGTATAGTCGGGATTGAGCGGATCTGAAACAAGCCCTCATCTGATCCTACGGTGGCACTGCGGAACTAGGTGGCCTTTCCGGGTTGTCTCAGCTTGGGACAGAGAGGCCAGGCCTTTGTACTCCTGCATCGTCCAGTCATTGGATCCAGGCAGCTCGCTTTGGCTGAGGACAAGTCTAGGAGGGACTCTGAGAGAGGGATTCAGCCCACTTCGCCAGCAGCTAGTGGAACGAGTACCTTGGCCCCTAAGCCAGCACCTGGGTGGTACAGTACAGCACCCAGTACCAGGTGACCACATCTGCTTTTTTAAAACATCAGCTTTATTGAGATATAATTCACATACCATAAAATTCAGTGGTTTTTAGTGTATTCACAGAGTTGTGCAACTGTCACTGCAGTCTAATTTTACAGCATTTCCATCACTCGAAAAAGAAACGCTACATCCATTGGTAGTCCCTAGCTTCCCCTCCCAAGAGGCTACCAATAATCTGTTTTCTGCCTGTATGGATTTGTCTATTCTGGACACTTCATATAAATGGTACCATACAGTATGTGGTCTTATCTGCTTTTAAAATGCAGTTTGACTTTCACGATTTTTTAAAAAATTTCTTCTCCTTTATTTACTGACTCTCACGATTTAACTGAATGCTTTCACTTCCATGTTTTAATGAGAATCAAAAAGGATAATTACACAGAATTTAACAATTTATTTGAAAATGTCACCTAGTATTTTGTCTTTCAAGCAAAAATTCCAGTGCATTCTTTTCCTCAAGAGAAAGCAGTGGCAAATACTCTTTTTTTAACTCCTCATATTACTCAAGCCATTTTGGTATCTCTGAAATTCCTGAAAGCTTCGTAGATAAAGCCTTACAGTAATAGAAGATCCTTTTGACTAATCTCAATTCTTAGCCCCAAAATACGAGTCCATAAATGTTATTTCTAATATATTATAGAGTAATATCCACAGTTTTTGTCACTTATTGAAGCAAAGCTAAATAGAGTTCAAATCCTGTGAATTTAGAATCCTTTTAATGATAAATGTGAAATACTCAGGTTAAAAAAAAAAGACCTTAATTTTTACTGGAGCCACTAGATAATAGTACTTTGTTCTTCGTTGCATAAATTTTATAGAAAACTAGAAAATCTAGACATTACTACTCAATAAATACTTATTAAATGAAAAAAAGTGGTAGAATGAGTGAATTCTAAGTGTTAATAAGAAAGTTAGTCATATCTGGAAAATCTGAATCTAAAATTTAATACATTCATTTGCCTAGTTTTTTTCTTACTGTTCTCTTAGTCAAAGTTAAAACCTAAACATCTGTTGAAAGAATACAAGACAGGGCACCTGGGTGGCTCAGTCAGTTAAGCGTCTGCCTTCAGCTCAGGTCATGATCCCAGGGTCCTGGGATCGAGCCCCTCATCGGGCTCCCTGCTCCGTGGGAAGCCTGCTTCTCCAGAACTCTCCCACTCCCCCTGCTTGCGTTCCCTCTCTCACTGTGTCTCTCTCTGTCAAATAAATAAATAAAATCTTAAAAAAAAAAGAATACAAGACAGATTCTTACCTGAAAAATAATGGGATGAGCCACTGAGGGCAGCGTTACTGGTTCTCACCTTGGCAGGCAGGCAATGTTTACATGATTTTGTAAAAACTTAGTTCTGTGAAGTAAACTATATTAGACTAGGAATTAGGGAAGCTAGGTGTGGCCTCGGCTCTGTGGCTAACTTTGGATTCAAAGTCAAGTCTGATGCATAGTTTGTATGTTTTATTTCAGTATTTATCTTTCAGCTTGATGTATTTAGAATATGTGGGGCACAGAACCCACTGGTGTAATTTAATCATACTTAAGAAATAATGACAACTAAGTTTTATTGATTCAATTATTCATTCCCTTACTCAACCAGTGTTTTTTGACTACCTACTGTGTGCCAGGGGATTAAAAGCAAATAAGTTTAGTCCTTGTCCTCAGTTTGTTCCCACAGTTAATGAAATACAGCATAATGAATAGAAAGGCCCAGAAGGCAGGAGACATGAGGTTAGACGCTGCTCTCTCCGATTGGCAGCATGACCCTGGCTGTGTTGCTCAGTGCCCCTGTGTTGAAAGTGGGAGAGAGAGTCTGAGTGCCTGGATTTGCTGAGCCTCAGTGAATGTTAGCAGCAGCCTCACTTCCTTCAACTGCTGGATGTAAGACAAATAGAAATTTTAAAACTGAGAGTCAGAAATCGATCCTTTAAAGAGGCTTCTATTCTTTTCTCATGTGAAAGTGGACTACTGTAGGAAAAGAGTTGGCCTTTTTGAAGGAACTTAGCATTTGAACTCTTGTGCATTCAGTTTCAGAAAGGAGCAAGTCTCCTTAGCATGCTGCCCAGTCTAGGGAATGGGTTCATGTATGTTTATATGACTTGAAAGAGAAGCCATGTTTCTTTGAGTCGTTATAGAATTCAAAGAACTTTCCATAGACATTATCTTTTTTTTCCCCCTTAGATAGATAAAAGCCCAGAAGGACAATTCACTCAGCTAATGACATTGCCCAAAACCTTACAGCAACAAATAAATCATATTATGGACCCTCCTGGAAAAAACAGAGATGTGGAAGAAACTTTATTGCAAGTTGCTCATGATCCTGACTGTGGAGAAGTGGTGCGACTAGGTATGTTTATGGATTTGACGTCAAGGAAGTGCTGGCCATGGGTAAAAAGCAAACTTTGTGACTGAGGTGTGTTCTTTATTCTTTCTTGCCTAGAGAGATCAAGAGACAGATTGTCTCAGGGAAGAAGAAAGCACTAACAATCTGGGGTTTTTCCAAATCTAAATTGTCATTTGTTTGAAGTAGGGTGGTGAAAGTACTTCTGTTTTCAGATTCCTGGGTCCTAAATCACTGTCAAAGGGGGGAACAATGTTTGTTTTGGTTCCAGGAGCATAACTTCTAGAAGTTATTCCAGAGACTCCTCTGTGTCCTTCATGGTGGTCTGAGAAAGAAGACTAGTGCCATTTTTAGCGCTTTTCTAACATGAGGAACACAGCTTTCATCAGCCGACTCCCGTTCAGTGTGTCTCATCATGTGTTCCGTCAGTTCCCTCTGACATGGCCCATGTTCCACGTATTATCCCCAGGGCCTTCCCAATGTTTACCCAAAAAGCTTATCTTCAGAGACCCACTTCCCTTTGAGGCGTTAAAGATAATTCACGAGGGCTGTCAGTAAAGAAATAATCATGATTGAAAAGGACTCCCTTCCCCAGATGAGCACGTTCTCCTGTTTTATTGAGTAAACATTTCCTGAGCTCCTCAAAGATGAAAGCTACTGCCCCAGATGCCCCTCCAGTGACGCACTCTCCCAGGAACCTGCCCCAGGCTGTCAGAGCATGCGTTTAGGTTCCCAGGTACCAATTCTGAAGATAAGTGAGGAGCCACGTTGCTTGTTTTCATTTTAACATGATTCTGGTCACAATATGATCTCTGCTGCCTTTGTGAGAGGATGAAGGACTGAGGAGTCCCGTGTATGTTTTCAGAATGGAAGTTTTTCTCCTAGGCAGAAATTTTGGGTTCTTTTTAATCATTTCACATCTTAGGTTTGAGATCCAGCCTCCTTAAGCAGATTTAAAGTCATAAAATGACCTTTGAGGGTGACTTGGCCCCCCTACGCCCCCCAACCCTGTTTTAATTAAGGTGAGGAGGTCCAGGCCCAGAGGGGAGCAGGCATTTGCGTGAGCTCACACGACTGGTCGGTGACACGGCTGGCAGCTCCGGTCACCTGGCCCTCAATCCTGATACCCCTTACACTGTCATTCTGTGACACCAGGGCAGAGCTGGATTTGCTGGTTTTCTTGGATAACTGGAAAGAATATTACGTTTTAGGTTTTAAAAGTGTTAAGATGACTAACATCTGGCTTTTTTGGCATCCTTGCTGGTTTTCTCTCAACAGGGCTTTCAGCAATTGTGAGACCTTCTAGTATGAAACAGAGCACCAAAGGCATTTTCACTGCTGGTAAGAACTTCCGAAAATCCATGGTTGTTGTTTGTTGTTGTTGTTTTGTTTTTGTTTTTGACAAGAGTTAACGTTTAATTCACAATGTAATGAAGGTTACAGGTAAAAAGCTACATATAAAGCGTGAAAAGGCCTATTACGCAAATGTACGTGTTTCTATACAAAGCTCCTATATCACCGTTTGCCACCCTCGTTTCCTGTGTTTGTTAGCTGGGCCGGGTCCTGGAGCTCTGGGTTAAGCGAGCTCTCAGTCAACGGAGGGGGCAAGGGGAGAGCCTCTGAACCAACACCTCAAAATGTCCTCTTAGAGACATCTAATTGTTATTTGCAAAGTAAAATCATTTCCTTTTCGAAGATCCAGGCTTAATGTACCTGCTGGATTGAGTGGCCTCAGCATTCCTGATTAAAACGTAAAGCTGCATCTGTGTCCTGCAAGTACTTCTGAAGTGCTGAAGTGTGGTGGTGGTGAACTAGGACATAGCACTGGTGTACAGACAGGCAAAACAGCACTGTCATCTGATCTAAAATCATCAGATCATGTGAGGTGCTGTTGGAAGGCTTACTGCCCCTCTCGGTTTTCTGAATAACTCCTTGTGTGCAGGTTGTCCCCTCATTTTAGGATTTGTGAAAGTCACATGTGCATATTGTTGCCAAAGCAATAGTACCTTGCCCTTCTCCCCGCCCCCCACCCCCCGCCACCATTTCCCCTCTCCAGAGACAACTGCTGCTAACTCTCCTAGTGGCTTGGTTTTATGTCCACTGTCAGTTTGCTAAATAGTAGGCGTATACCGCTGCTTCTCTCCTTTTCTGTGGTCGGCATCATCTGTGGACTTCTCACTCTGACAGATTCGAATTCAGCTCTTGTACCCACCCCGCCGCACATGCTCGCCCCTCCCTTCCCTGGGTCCTCGGGTAGTTGCTGTGTAGTGTTGGTGAAGCCAGTCGTCAGAGTTTATAGCGTATGACTCTGTTACTGTGATTCATAGGTGAGCCGTATCATACACTTTTCCTTCCCTGCACGACTTTCTTTTCCCACGGAGATTGTCTTCCCCTGTCTCCTGTCTCTTGTGTCTTTTACTTTTGCGGTGTACACTCTCATTTTGGTGAGGCACGCCTCCAGTAACTTCCTGAGAAAGGATGCAGGGAGGCAAACTGGGAGACCGTGTATAACTAGAAATATCTTTAGCTTACCCTCACATATAATTGACACTTAGGCTGGAGATGGATTAGAAATCATTTTTTTTTTAAGAATTTTGACATCATTATTCCGATTATCTTCTCACTTGAGGATTGCTGTCGAGGTCCAAAGCCATTCTGATTCTCAGTCCTTTGTTCTTTTGTGTATATTCTTTCTGGAAGCCAGTTAGGTCTTCACTTGCCCCCAGGGCTCTGACATTTCTCAGTGATAGGCTTTGATAATGAATCTGTTTTTATCTACTTTACTGGGTACTCATTGCTCTTTCATTTTGGAACCTCAGAAAATAAGAATATAAGAAATTTTTCTTTTATTGTTTTTTTTTTACCTTCTTCCCATCTGTTTTCTCTCTTCTCTTTCTGGAACTCCTTTTATTCAGATATTGGACCTCCTCAAAGAGCCCTTTGGTTTTCTTTCTTTTGTCTCCTATTTTTTCTCTCTTTTTGCTCTGTTTTCTGGGAGATTTTCTCAACTTTAGCTTCCAACCCTTCTTGAGTATTTTATTTCTGCTATTGTATTTTTAATTTCCAGGAGCTCTTTCTGTGTTCTTTTTTTATTCTCTGAATGTACATTTTTGTTTATTTTTTTTAAAGATTTACTTAATAGAGCGCGTACACATGTGTGCACTCGAGCAGGGGGAGGGGCAGAGGGAGAGGCAGAGAATCTCAAGCAGATTCCATGCTGAGCGCAGAGCCCTACGTAGGGCTCGATCTCACGACCCTGAGATCATGACCTGAGCTGAAATCGGGAGTCAGACACTTACCCAACTAAGCCACCCAGGCGCCCCTGAATATATATTCTTCAAAAAAATTTTAAAACATCCTGTTCTTGTTTTATGCGCTTAAGCATTTGAACATATCTTTGGATATTGCCATATTGCCCTCCAGAGGGGTTATATCAATTTATAGTCCTACTAGCAGGAAATGAGAGTTCTCTTTTCTTCCCATTCTCTCCAACACTTGGTATTGTCAAATGATGGACTTTCCTAGTTTGGTCTTTCTTTATGTGACCATCTACTGAGCCTCTCTAATGTGCCAGCCATGCAGGATGCAAAAGTGAACACACCGTCCTACCTTCAGGGAGTTCATAATCTAGAAGGGGAGACAGATGTATAAATAGAAATTTGCAGTACTGGGTGATAGATGGTACTGGTGATAGATAGGTAACGCCAAGTAGGGAGTAATCTTTCAGCCTGATTCTGATCTCTGGGCTGAAATTGCCAGGAAGCTGGCGTGGTCACACCTCTTAACCTCTCACCCCAGCTTCCTGGATACCCAGCTGTGTTTGGCCCCAAGGACACAGTGCTGCCCCTCCTGAGTCTTTGGAAAGATTCAGCCAAAAATTCAACAAAGATTTAGTAGCTCATGTGCCAAATCTACTCAGCTGAAGATCTTCCTACTGCACAGGAGTGCATAGCTTTGCATTTCCAATTAAGATATTTATTTAATCTATGTTCCTGCTGGTTTATCCTGGCAAGGCTGAAGATGAGGTGTTTTTGTTTGCTTGGGTGGTTCAGACTGTTAATCTGTGATTTGCATGATTGCAGCTTCTTGGGTGAGGCTGAATGCTTTGGGTTTTCTTTCTTTCTTTCTTTCTTTTTTTTTTTTTTCCTGTTTTGGGCTTCTTGACCCATAAGGAATTATTAGATTTATGGATTTTTTTTATTTTTTAGCTATGATCATGTGTTACAGGGTTTTTAAATTTTTCTTTTCTTTTAGAAATACATATTAACATTTTTACAAATGAAATGACAGGATGTTTGAGATTTGCTTGAAAATAAAACATGGTGGAGGGAAGGGGGTTAGGGGTAGAGGACACAAAATTTGCCCTGAATTGATATATTGTTGAAGCTGAGTGAAGAAACATGAGACATGATCTACTCTTCTTTTATAAGTTTGAGTTTTTCTCTAATAAAACCTTTTGAAAAATCTGTCATCATCACCTCTTGACCCTTCAACCTGAAATGAATCTTTGGGCCTCTTTCCGCCTGCTCTTTCCAGTGGCCAGCAGAGGGCAGTGGGTGACACAAAGCCACAGCCCAGTTTTCCTGTGGCCGCCCTGGTGCCCAGGGCGGGTGTGCTCACTGCCTGCTTCCCTTTCCTTTCCGAAGATGCCTTATTGGACCGTGGAAGGCCAGAGTACCAGTGTGTGCAGCCTGCTCTGTGCGTGCAGAAACTGTGGAAAGTGACCAAGTGTGGGTTTACCTTATGTTCTGGTTTCTCTGGTTTTATGGTGCTTGTGGGCTGTGATGAAGGCGGCTCAGGCCAAAGGCCCAGAGCCTGGGGCTCATATTCCAACTTAACTACTGTGACTTGGGCAAGTTACCTAATTTTTTGGAGTTTTAATCTCATAGGGATAATTATACCTGCCTTACCAGGTTGTGAAAATTACATCTTATGATAAATAAACCCATCTAGCACAGTGCCAGGACTTTATATTCTTGGTATCATTAACCTGACCCCTCTTTAGGCGTCTTTGCACTGTCATATTCAGATGGCATTCACCCACCCATGAATCAGGTCTCCAGTTGGAGCAAACTAGCAAGAAAGGCCCCGAGTGGCTGGTTGACTGTTCCTCTTCCCTTTGACTTCACAGCAAACTTCAGAACCTCTAAGCCTCTGCGTGTTGTTCCTTAGAAGTCCTCTCTTTGTGGTGGTGGCTGGCATTCTGCCTGCTTTGCTCAGGCAAAACCCCCCACGTTCTACCCGTGTTCAGTTTCTCAGCTAGCTAGCTGATGCGTCATGTGCAGGGTGGGAAAACCTGTGTATTTATATTCCTTAGCAGCCATTCTCACCCCTCCCCTTTGCAACGTCCCACTCAGTGGAGGTGAAAAGGTAGGTTCAGTCTTCCCCTTTAGCTAGTGAATACCTTTAATATTCAAATTCAATTCAGAGAGATCGCTGACCGAGGAGCTAAGCTTGGGGTCAGAAGTCCTGGACTTGAGTCGCAGCTACTCATTTCTTCGCTCTGTAACCTTGGCATGTTAATTAGCCCTTCTTCCCTGAAATGGAGGGGATCCTAATACCCAGGCCACTATGTGTTCTGAGAGTGTCCAGTATGTACCTAGTAGGTGCTTTATAAACTTGGATGACTCTAGATCTAAATATCACTCTATTCTTAGACAAGACAGAGGCCAGGTATCTATAACCAGCCCAGAGGATTGCCTTTTCTCATAAACTGTGTTGGATAACACAGTTGCCTGTTCTTATGTGGTCTGACTCTGTCTTTATTAGTTCCCTTGAAATCCCTTCATCATCAGATACACCCATGTTCAAAGGTGAGTACAGAAATGCCTCCAAAGCCAAACACTATTTTCCCCTTTTAGCCTAACTCAACCAGCAGCTCGGGAGAAGTGAAAGGCCATTTAGTCTCCTGACACTTGCCTTCTCTTCTTTTCATGGTAGCAGCAAATGGCTTCGCATCTCACATGGATCACAGAAGACCAGCTAAGCAAAGTGTTGTATTCTGATCAGCAGCAGCCTTCACGTTACTAACCTTTCTGAGTCTTCTGGTACGGGAATAGGAGAGAGATGGAGGATTTAGTGATAAGACTGAGAATTAAGCAGGAGCCGGCAAAGGGAGCCTGAAAAGCCAGGCAGAGGAATTCAGAGTTTATTTTGAGGGCAGAGGGAAGCCAAGGAAGGATTGTAGAAAGACCTTGGTGGCTAGAGAGTAGAGAGCAGATGGAGGGGCGATAACACTCTTGCTCAGGAAACTGATTAGCCATGGTTCAGCCAGTCAGGGGAGGAGTTAGGCAGCCTGAACTCGGGTCATTGTAGTACAGGCAGAGAGAGAGGAGACGCAT